ACCAGTGGCTGCCCATTTGTTTGCTCCCTCAGCTGGGAGACCTGCTTCACATTCAGATAGCTCTGAGAGGAGCAGAGCCTGAGGAGCAGGGCCTGTCCCCAGGCTCAGTCACTGCCTAGTTGTTTCAGTGTCAGATGGTTTGATTTGTAGGAGACATGAAAAAACATCCTTCTTCATTTCGTATGTATGTATGTATGTATGTATTTTAATTCCCTGGGCTCAGAGCTTCAAGGAGAAATACAGGCCCAGAAGTTTAAATTCAGCCTAGTTTGTAATCAAAGTCTGGAGTACTTTAGACAAAACTAAAGCAAGGCCTTGAAATCTTACCCTCAGTAAGCTGACTTGGGTCTTTGAGCTTGTCAGAGGGGAGTTTTGCCCATTGGCCATCACTAACTTTCACACCCTCGACTTCCGGTGGTGTTTCTGCAAGAAAGATTTCTAGTAAGGCCAAGTTTCTAAAATGCTCTTTAACTCTGAAAGGTCAACGGAGGACGTTGTCCAGCCAAAATAATGCTTCTGCTTTCCTATGTTGGGTTTCACTTGTTTGGGTGGCATTTTCTGGTTCTGCTGCAGAGATGAAATATGTGGCTCCCTTGTAGGTCTGCACAAGCAGCTCCTGCCCTGCAAAAGGTACCTAGAGATACCATCCAGAGGGGTGTCACCTCCCAAGTGCAAGAACCAGCCACAACAGACCAAGACTGAGATTCAGCCACAGTAGGGACATTTGCTTATTTCAGGGCCTCCTGCCTATGTGCAAAAGGACTCAGAGGAGCACTTGAGAGCATATAGACTCTAAAGCAGTAAAAAACCAAGTCGAAATGGAAGAAACAGCCTGGTGTCTGGTTTTATTTGAATTAGGAAACAAAGCGTACTTTTAGAGGTGTCAGCAAGCAGCGAGAGGTAGTATTTATTCTCTGTAGCAGGGGCTTTACTTCTCATTTAACCTTTTTTCCTTCTCAACAACTCTAAGAGCTACTACTAAGTTGTATATGAAGACACCAGGGCCTGAGGGGTCACTCAGGAATCTCTGACACCAGTACTTGAGTTGTGAACGCTCTATTTTCAAGACATCTCCTCTTCCACCTGCTTCCCTCCCCTCACCCCTCACCACTCCACAGGCTTCCTCTCTGTGATTTCACTCATATCATCAGAGACACAACAGCTGTCTTTGTGGCCCCAGATGTGTCCGGGGCAATCCACATGTAAATCTTACTTTGGACACAGAATTCTTTAAACAATTTCCTCCAAAAGTGGTCAGGAGACATTTCTCCTTGGTCCCAGGACAAACTCAAGAGGACATTGGTTTCCATATGTTGTAGTCAAGCCCAGGGAAAATCTGAGAGACTAAAGATGCTGAAGCAAACTATGAAATTCATCGAGAAAATATTTTTCATTAATTTATGTTATTATTTTTAGTTGCCAGAGGGCACATACGCTCACTAGAGAGACATGGGCAGACAGGCTGTTGTAGAAACTACTTCTCCAATGGGGTATGGACATGTTCATGCACAATCCCTTATCCTTTATTCTCTATCCTGTCAGGATTTTGGGTGCACACATACACACATATACAAGCACATACGTACCCAGCATGTTTTTCAAGCTTCCAGGGCTGGAATTTGAATTGCAATTGGCTATGTGGGATCTAACTCCCCTTAACCTCTAGGTTAAGGAGATGGCCCATCCTAGGCCTTTCTATCAGCATAAATTCATATTCATCCGTAATCGTCTAGATAATGGTGTATTTGAGCTGGGAAGAATGCTAGGGTTCTCCTAATGTACCCTTTCATTTTAAGATGAGAAGCCATCACTACATAAGGCCATAGGGCTTCATCCAAGGTTATATAGCCAACAAATAGTGAGGCAGAGCCTGTATCTACCCTTTAATGTCATGTGCTTATCAGAAGTTAGGAGAGGGGTTTTCTTAGCATACCTCAAATTAAATAAATGGAAATACAGGCAGTCAAAACTAAGTTTGAAATCTCTCCCACCTCAGGCCACTGAAGATACCAGGCATTATGGGCTGTATAAGATACAGTTGTTAACTAAGTAACTTGCTCTCATCCCACAACCTTCATCTTAATGCCATGGTTCTTTTAAGTTTTTCTTCCCAAAATTCATTCTGGGTCAAGATCTCTTGTAAAGAGAGAAAAGCCCTTTTGGGGGAAGTGATAGTTAGTCAGGATTAGTTCATTCTCTTCTCGAACTATGAGTCCTTGAAAATGCTTTTGACTAAGGTGCTAAGTATTCTAATACTTCTCCTCACACAACAAGGAAACTAGAAAACCTCCCATCCTGCTTTCTAATTCAGAAAGCTGTCCCCTGCCGAATGAGAAAGAACTGGCTTAGAGGAGGTTCCTTACCCATATCGCACAGAAGTCAGTATGGCTGGGAAAACCCAGGGGACCAACTCAAGAGGGTGATTAACAAGTCATAATTTATTGAAGTGTGAGTATGAGTTGTTCTTCTGGGATTTTCATGTCCATTAAATGAGAACTCAAGAGGACCTTGGTTTCCATATGGGAAATAATTATATCAATTTAGAAGGTTTTATTTTTTCATTGTCATGAAAGATGGATTATAGACTTATTTTGCATATTGTGCTACAGTGCTCTTACTAAAATCCTATTAACTTCTGAGAACTGTTACTGTAGAATTAATGCTAGCAGGGAACCAGCAGTTAGCATAATGGCTATGTCGCTGGACTCCCACATAGTCGACCACGGTTCGTGTCCCAGACCTGGTGACTTAAAACTCATGCTGGGTGCATGTGCGTGCGTACCCAAGATCCCGAGAGGAGAATGGAGGAGAAGGGATTGCGGCGTGGCCATCCCCCTCGGGGGTGATTTCTCGCTTTCTGTCTCTCTGTCTCTCTGTCTGTCCGGCGAGCGCACATGCCCTAAAGCAAAAACCTCTCCAAAAAAAAAAAAAAAAATTAACGCTAGCAACAGCGCCTGGAACAAAGAAAAGAAATGATTTTCTTTTCCTCTAGTGGTCTGGCTAGTGTATGGTTTTCAGAAGAAGAAAAGAGATGTACTCCATACTTTTCAAGAAAATAATGATTTAACAGGCTAATGCTACACCATTCGAAACTCACCATTTATCACTGAGCTCTTTGTGGATTTACGTAACACAGGGAAAAATGAAACCTACAATCTCAGTGAAGGCACTTTTCTTTCTAATTACCACTTTCTTGACTCTGCCCCCCTGCAGGGCGTGAAGGAACACAAATGTGGGATTTGTGGACGGGAGTTCACCCTCTTGGCCAACATGAAGAGACACGTGCTGATCCACACCAACATTCGGGCCTACCAGTGTCACCTGTGCTACAAGAGCTTCGTGCAGAAACAGACCCTCAAGGCACATATGATTGTCCACTCTGACGTGAAGCCTTTCAAATGCAAGGTGGGCAGCAGACCCAAGGAGGAGGCCAGAAAGGGAAGATTCAGTGGGTTGTACAAATACCAAGTAGGGAA